GAAGAATATGGGCGTGACTGACACCCGCTCAGCCTCCCTCCCACCACCTTAAATCCTATCCCAATTTACCGCTCCCTTACCAGAAATCCCCTAATGCCTCAGATCTCCCCATAGTCCCCCTCCCTTTGCTGCAGCCCCAATACCCTCTACCCCTATTTTGCCTTGCTTCCTAATTCCCCCTCACAGCAAACTTTTGCATATGGCATTTATTTATTTGTTACTAGTTTAAGCACCTTCTGAATCTTCTGCTGTCCTGCAATTACATTTTCCCCACAGCTCCAAATAATAAGATTAAAAACCCCTTTGGCAGAGCCAGGTTGTAGCAGCAAGAATGGTTTGCTCTCAGACTTCTCTTGGGGGTTGGATATGAACTTAAAGCCATTCAACCACATTGATACTGGCCTGTGTGCTGTGGCTGGCATATAGCTTTATTGGATGGGAGATTGTTACAGTTGCTAGGATGTCTACAAGCTAAGGAAAGGGGCAGCGAAGGGGAGCTGGACTGCAGGGTGTTATGTTTATAGGACTCAGGGTAAGTTCCACCCAGGGAGGCTGATTATGGAGCTGCGGTGGCTGGCCCCATGAGTAGGGCCCTACCAAATTCACAGCTGTGAAAAATGCATTACAGATCATGAAATCTGGTCTACCCCAGGAAAACTGGCTATTGTAGGGGGGTTGCAGGATTTGGTATACCATACCTTGAACCCTCAATTCTGGGCTGCTGGGCTGCCTCACAAGCAGGGTGGCCGGAGAGCGGCGGCTGCAGGCCGGGAACCCAGCTCTGAAGGCAGTGCTGCCGCCAGCAGCAGCCCAGAAGTGAGGGTTCATGGTATGGTATTTCCACCCTCAGTTCTGCACCGTCACCAGCAGCAGCTTCCTGCAGCCAGGGGAGGTGCTGGAGGTTGGAGTGTAGAGCCCACCGCACAGGAGGAGCCCTGGGCTGGGGTGCCCTAGACCTGCCCCATCCCGGCTCCAGACCTACCACTCAGTGGTTAAAGGGGCCTTGGGCTGGCTGTGTGTGTGCCACAGCACCCTGGGGTTTGTCCACCCATAAGGCTGGACCTGTCCCGCCCCCTCCCCCCAAAGTGACAGCCCTCCCAATACTATGCCACCCTTACCTCTGTGCAGCTGCTGGTGGCAGCTCTGCTTTCAGTGCTGGGCTCCCAGCCAGCTGCCACTGCTCTTGGGCATTCCAGCTCTGAAGGCATTGCCACTGCTGGCAGCACTGCAGAAGCAAGGATGGCATGGTATGGTATTGCCATTCTTACTTCTGTGCTTCTGGTGGTGGTAGCACAAATGTAAGTGTGGCCACCCTCACTTGAGTGCTGCTGCTAGCTGTGGGGCTCCCTTCAGAGCTGGGTTCCCAGCCATCAGCTGGGGTGCTTCCTCAAGCCAGGGGAGGATCCTGGATGTGGCTCTAACCCGGCCCAGGGAGCGGCCCATGCAGGGGAAGGGGACGACCCATCTCTCCTCAGCTTGGATGGGATTATCAGCTGGAGGTCAGTACATGGTAGCAGGATCGGCTCCAGGGTTTTTGCCGCCCCAAGCAGCGGGGAAAAAAAATAAATAAATAAAAAGCCATGATCACAATTGCGATCAGCAGCACTCCGGCGGCAGCTCCACCGCGCTGCTTTCTTCTTTGGCGGTAATTCGGTGGCAGGTGCCACGGAACAGCCCGACGTGCCGCCCCTTCCCCTTGGCTGCCCCAATCACCTGCTTGCTGGGCTGGTGCTTGGAGCCAGCCCTGATGGTAGGAACCCCCAGCCCTGCCTCTCCCTACTCTGGTCTAAGCACTCAGAGGCTTAAGGGGCTTTGGGATGGCTGACCTCTGACCATGAGGGCTGTTGCCCACCCCTAAGACCAGTCCTTCCTCTCCCAAAAAAGTGATGGCCGCTCTCATACTATGCCACCCTCACTTCTGTGCTGGTGTTGGTGGCAACGCTGCCTTCAGAACTGGGCTCCCTGCCAGCAGCTGCTTCTCTCTGGCTACCCAGCTCTGAAGGCAGCGTCACTGCCAGCAGTGCTCAGAACTAAGGGTGGTAATGCTGCGACGCCCTCTAGAATGGCCTTTCAACCTGGCCCCACAGCTGCATTTTGGGTCGGGAACCCCCACGATTTCAACACCGTGAAATTTCAGATTTAAATATCTGGAACCATGAAGTTTATGATTTTTAAAATCCCCTGATATTGACCCAAATGGAGCGTGTATTTGGTAGCTGTCCCCAACCCCCACCCCCATGAGGCTGGTATATGCTATGTTACAGAGATGTGCTGCAGATATGGGAGATGTTTCTAGTTAAATTGGGCCCAATACAGATCCCTGGATTTTCCTGGCCACCCTGTTGGCCCTCAGCCCTGCCCCATGGAGGTTGCTGGGGAAGGGGACTTAAGTAGGAGGTGGTGGCTGGTGCTGGGTCAGGGGGCTCATGCAGAAGCTGTCACTGGCTCTGGGGTGTGGATAATGATGGCACAGGCAGGGCTTGCACTGGAAGCCCTGGCCCTCCTGCAGCCTCTGTATGGGGAGTTGTCCAGGGCCATGTGGCCAAAGATGGGGCAGCCTTGTGCATGCGTCCGCTTGGCTGGTGTGGTGCTGAGCACCCGCATGTAGCTGCACTTACTGTGCTGGGGCAGGGTGTAGCCATGAGCCATGGCACCAAAGGGGTTCATGAGGCTCCAGCGAACAGGGTGGCTGGTGGCATCCAGGAGGCAGAAGCTGGAGAAGCGGCAAATCAGGTTGGCCAGATACCGCTGGCTCTACTCAGTACCCACATAGGGCCACGTCTCGTTCAGCAGGTCGGCGTGGAAGACATCCAGGGACGAGAGCCTCAGGGCAGAGTCCAGCCTGGGGAGCACAAAGCAGTAGGGTAGAGCCAAGGGGAGGGAGGGACAGGCTGGCTCAGGAGATGAGGAATGGGGCACGGGGCCTTTCCCCTCAATGGGTGCTGGCTCTGATCCAGCCCTGGGGCTGGGAACTGACTGGCTCACTGGAATGCCAGAGAAGTGGGGAGCATGGGGCCTTTCCCTGGTAACACAGGTGGGAGCAGCGCTGTGTCATGTCCCTGCTTGGCGGGTCTCAGAGGGGGTATCTCGTTCCTCAGGGAAGCTTCTCCCCATTCCCAGAGCATCCCCTGGAGCCAGGCCCTTTGCTGGGGGCCTGAGTGAGCCACTGATGACTGAACAGGCTTTGGGGAGGGAAGATGCCTCTGCCCCCGGGGTACCCTTGTGGCGGGTGGAGCCGTGACATGGGGCAAGTGGCTGGTAGCTGTCCGTGCTCTGCCTGGGCTGCTTGCCAGGGTGCAGGTCTCCAGGGGTGCAGCTCGGGCAACTGTTGGACAGGCCCATCATGTGCTATGGAGCAAGGAGGCCATTGCTCCTCTAGACCTTGGCTCTAGACCTCCCCTCATAGGTCTATCTGCTCCACTTTTTGCCCCACCTGGGTTTGCAGGATACAGGATCGCCTGTAATATTCAAACACAGCTTTGCTCTTCCTGCCCCCTGAGTTTTTCTGAAATGACACCTCTGGTGTTGGGGAATCAGGCATCCCCCCACACACACATAGCACGTGCCTGAGCTGTCCAGTGTCTGCGGTGTCCCTGAGCAGCTAGAGAGAAGGCTGTCTGGGCAGTGCCAATCCCAAGTGGGATACTGCCATTGGCACCACGAGCCCCTGAGCCTGGGGCCCAGGTGGGGTGAGGAACAGGGCTAGCTGGCCAATCTGTGGGCATTCCAGTGACTCGGTCCATGCCACAGTGCCCACCCACAGGCAGACACTGACCAGATCTCAGGCATGGTGTTGAGATCCAGTGGAGGTAGGTGAAGTAGTTGTATGCCTCCAGCTGCACCCCCTTGGCCCTGGTGATGTCCCTCAAGACCTCATACACCCCCCATCCTAGAGCCCTGCAGGAGGTGGCGACAGGCCCTGAGCAGTGGCAGCTCTGAATGGGGAACGTGGCTGTTGGAGGCCCAGCTTGGAATGTGAGGAGGAGAGGGGACCAAGCTGACCCAATGGCCTCATGAAAGGGAGCCTGCACCAATGAAGCAATCATGTCCTGAGACCATGGGAGCAGTCTGGTGGGAAGTGTCGGAGACCAGAAGTGTTTGGACCTGGAGACTCAAGATCTGGCAGTGTTGGAGTCTGCTGGAGTTTGGCCCCAGAAGGTGGAGGGGATATGCAGTGACTGTGGGGCTCAGGAGGAGGCAGCCCCAGACATTGCCATGGATGCAGAAGGCCTAACCTCAGTTGATCACGCCCGTGCTGCCCAGAAGGGCCTGGTAGAACTCTGCGTACATGTTGTTGTAGAAGTCAGAGTTGTCTGATGCCACCTGCTGTGGGAGACACAGAGCCAAAAGGCTAAAGGGGAACTCCCACTGGAATGGTTGATTTGCCCGCTCCTCCTCCCCACCCCCTCCAAGTCAGCCTGGCCTCTGTCCGGAGGCCTCCAGAGGGAAAAATGGCCCCATATCCCATTCCTCACTCCCTGAACCACCCTGGCCACCTGGGTGCAGCATGGTTGCTGAAGGGTGACACTTCTGTCTGTGGCTGGGTGAGAACAGCTTTGAACTAGGGTTATGAATCCACCAGCACTTTGTGCCCAGCCGGGTTCCTGCAGTTTATGTTCATTGCGGCACCGTGGATCAGCCGGAGATATGGGGGGTGGGGAGTCAGATTTGCAGTCAGAAAAGTCTTTATTGGGAGGCAGCACCGAGGTGGCCCTTTGCCAAAGCAGCAGAGGGTGGCAACAGGGCTGAGGGAGCCCTGGGCAGCCCTCCCTTACCCCACGTAAACGAGGCTGAAATCACCAGAGCTGGGTGGGATGGTGGAGCCTGGGGGTTGGCCCAGCCGGCATTTCTCAAAGGATAGGGCACAGGCCTGTCTGATGCCAGGATCTGGGATGAGGCCAACAACTGACACCAAGCCGTGAGTGGAGGAGGAAACCACTGCTGAAGGGGCATCTGTTCAGTGGTTGTGGGCGGGGAACTGAATCAGAGGACACAGCTGGAGAAACTAAGGGCCAGGACTGGGTGTTTACTTATTATTCATAAGTACAGATAGGTGATTGTTATTGCTGTGCTCTCCCCAGTTGAGTACTGGTTTCCCCATCCCCTCTAACAAAGCTCTTCTTGTTTCACACATATTCAGTTTGTCTCTTAAAGTCCCCCCAAGGAAGATATTTAGTGATCCTAGAAATTTGGTAGGATGGCTGATGCTATTGGTTCGTTTTCAAAAGGAAGCTCTAGGTATTTGACCTGACCTTTGTTGATGTGGACACCACCCAGGTTACGCACCCAAAACACTTTGGTTTTCTGACCTTCAGTATTTTGACACAAAGCCAACATTTTCTGGGAACAAGCAGAACCCTTTTGGGGAAAATTTCATTTGAAAAGTGGGTTGAAAAATGGGAAACTGTTGTGTGGCCCTAACTGTAATTCTACCTTCCGCCTCGCCTGTATGGTCCCAGCCGTGCCAGTGAGTGCCACCGCAAAGGGGAAATACTCAAAGGTGTCTTCAACAATCACTTTAATCACAGCTGGGATCACAAAGCCCAAAACGCTTCTTACTATCGGTCAATGTCAGTGGGCGGAGGTAAGGGGATTTGGGTGTCTTGGCTGTGTGGTACTGAATTTAACACATCTGGATTACTTTTGCGTGTGACCTCAGGCCAGGAGTCCTTGGGGATAGTGAAGTTTGGTTTGAGGATAATCAACATCCCCGGGAGGTATTTAACCCTTGAGTTACTGAGACAGACTGGCTCTTGAGGGAGTCCTTGGCATGGGAACACTCTCGGGTTGATTGATATCAATGCAGAACAGACAGATCCATCATGGGTTAGAAGCATCATGGGTTAGAGCACGCTGTGCTCAAGGAGATGTTGCTGAATGGGGACCTATTGCCCAGCCCCTTCCACCCCGTTTAAAGCTGCCCCGGCTTGTATAGTCCAGGAGATGGGAAAGGAGCTGATGAGAGCAGGATGCAACAGCAAGAGACGTGACAAGCCCCAGGGAAGCAGGGGAGAGAGAGATCTGGGGAAGATGTCTCTGGTAGGGTCGGGGGAGCATGACACACTGGCTGTGGAGCAGTTAGAGATGCAATATGCTGAGCAGGATGTCCCAGGGAAAGCAGGGGAGGAGGAGCACAGCAGATGCAGGAGGCAGGTGAGCATGTAGCTAGATAGGGCGAAAGATCATTGAGCCATTGCTGGAGTATCTGGAAGAGGAACTGGGATGGGACAGTGTCGGGAAGTGGGACGGGAGTGCTGTGTGTAGGGGTCTGGGGTGGTAGGGTCCATCAAGAGGGTAGGTTATGGGCCTGGGAAAGTAGGACAGACCCTTTAAAGGTGGGTATAGGGCTGTGGGGGAGGGCAAGGCCTGTGGGGCTGGGGGTAGCAGGCCCCATGTGAGGCTAGAGCTGGGAGATGTTACTGATTCCACTTGGCGAACAATGATCCCCAGGCTCCCCTACCCCCCCTCCCTTGTCAGGTCCCTTGGGCTGGGGACTCACGGGGGTGCTGTGCCTGGTGCTGGGCTGGGGGTTAATGTGGGGGCTTTTGCCGGTGCTGGGTTATGAAGAATGAAGTACCACAGGTTGGGCTGGCGCTGGAAGCCCTGCGTCTCCTGCAACCTCTGCATGGGGTCGTTCTCCATGGCCACATAGCCGTAGCTGGGATAGCCTAGTGCGTGCAACTGCTTGGCTAGCAAATTATTCAGCATCCCCATGTAGCCGCGCCGCCGGTGCTGGGGCAGAGTGTAGCCAGGCCCCATGGCACCAAACGGGTATGAAGCGATCCAGCTGACCGGGTGGCCAGCAGCATCCAGCAGGCAGACACTGGGGAAGTGGCGGATCAGGCTGGCCAGGTACTTCCTGCTTTTCTCGTTCCCCCCCAGTTGCCACATCTCATTCAGCAGGTCGGCGTGGGATACATCCAGGGATGACAGCCTCACGGTTGGGTCCAGCCTGGGGGGGCAGAAAGCAGCAGGGCAAAGCCCCAAAGGTCAGCGATCAGAGTGACACCTCAGAATCATGAGATGGCCAAATGATCATGAGGTTTTTTAAAAATATGACACTGTGATTGCTGGTCTCCCTTGACAGCTGAACTCCCCTGGCCCCAACCCCTGGATGTGACATGATCAGTATTGCCAACACTCCCAGATTTATTATGGCGATATGGGCTTCACTGCAGAATCTCCTATCCCCATATCTGCCCATCTGCTGCCCAGCAAATCAGTCTGCCCCATCAGTTCTGCCCCCACAGAGGCATCCATCAACTCTCTCTCCAGTCCCCCCCCACTAACCCCCTCCCAGCTTCCCCTCTGCACCTCCTGGTGTTCTCCCACCCCTCCCAGCCCTGTGGGGGCTGCAGCAGGCTCCCCTCTGCCCTTCCCAGGCTGGATGTCCCAGGGAAGGGGTGAACAGGGACACCATGCTGTCCCATTGCTCACAAGAGGGGCGGGGGAGGAGGGAGTGGAACCACCCTGAGATGCTGAGCAAATTCTGCTCCCTCTTCCCCATACCCGTCCCATGAGAAGGTGTCATGTTACTGCAGGGAGAGGGAGGGGCAGGGACTTCTTACTGCAGCAGCTCTGATTGCAAGCTCTTCCCCCAGCGGGGGTGTGGGAGAGGCAATCAGTCAGACAGGGCTTCCCCCCCAGGGCAGGGGGGGATTCCCTTGAAGATCATTGTAAGATGGGCTCCAGACCTGGCCAAGCTTGTGGGACTCAGGAGTGGGGGATGATAGAGCTGAATTGAGAGGAGAGGAAGCTGCCTTGCTTGGGAGATGGGAAATGGGACACGGGGCCTTTTCCCTCTTAGCCATACGGTGGCAAGGCTGCCTAATATCTCTTCTCATTAGAACTGAGTGTCTCATTTCCCTTCCTGATAGAAACCCCTCCATCCCTAAAGTGCCCCTGGGGTATCTGTCCCTCCCTGGGTGAGAAGCTGAGGCCTGAACAGGCTGTGGACAGGGAAGGTTCCTCTCCATCCTGGGCCAGGTGAGATGTGGTGCAGGGATGGGGGGAGCACGGTCTCTTGCTGCCCAAGCCCTGCCAGGTCTGATGGCTGATTGAAGGAGTGCCTGGTCTCCAGAGGCCACAGATGGGGCCACATTGGTGGCAGAGAATCTATTTGCATCAGGGTTTCCTGGCAGATGCTGGGACTGTGCAGGAGCTGAAGAGGGATCTCCCTCCCCATGGCTGGTCCCACCCGATGGCTACACTCCCCAGTCCTTGCAGGGTCCGTGAAGGAGGTTGGGCTCAGTGACAATCCCACTGAAATTCTGCTGGTCGCAACATGACCCCAATGCCCTTGGCCCTGCCTAAGCAATAGCCAGCCAGATCTTGGGCATACTAGTTAGGGTCACCAGATGTCCTGATTTTATAGTCCTGATATTTGGGGCTTTGTCTTATATAGGTGCCTATTACCCCCCACCCCCTGTCCCAATTTTTCATGCTTGCTGTTTGGTCACCCTAATCCCAGTGCCATGCTGGCCAATGCCCCCAACCCTTAGGCTGCCTCCTTCCGTACGACGCCCCCTGTGGGGCCCTGTGACACAGGCAGACACTGACCGGATCTCAGGCATGGAGCTGGGATCTGGGTGAAAATAGGTGAAGTAGCGGACCACCTCTAGCTTGATCCCCTTTGCCTCGGCGATGTCCTTGCAAACTTCGTACACTCCATCCTGGAGCCCTGCAGGGGGCAGCGACAGGCCATGAGCAGTGGGGAAAGGGACTGAATGGTGGTGACAAAGGGGCCCATATGTGTGGGGAGCCCAGCCTGGCACATGGGTTGGGAGGGGCAGGAGTCTGAGCTTCCAAACCCCCAGCCCCAGCCCTCAGGGAAGAGGGTGTGGTCAGTTGAGCTGACCCCAGCCCAGCACTGGGAAGGGGCTACCCCATATGTTCCTGCCCTGCATAGGGCTCATGGGAGCAGTCTTGCAGCCTAGGGGGAGCAGAGGACTTTGGGGCTGGCATTCTAGGGCAGGATCCTGGGGGTTTGGCCCAGACAGGACATATATGTTCAGTTACTGTGGGGCTCTCCCAGATGCTTTGGGGTACAAGTTACCAAGGATGCGGAAGTTCTGTCCCCAGTTGACAGCACCTGCACTGCCCAGCATGGCATGGTAGGCACCTAGGTCTTGGTAGTACACTGTGTATGTGTTGGTGTACAAATCAGAGTCATCCGATACCACCTATTGGGGGAGACAAACAGCCAAGACGGGAGAACTCCCAGTAGAATGACTCATCTGCCTGCCCCCTCTCCCCCGAGCCAGCCTGGTCCCCCCTAGAGGGGAAGGACTGCGTGTCCCATTCCCAGCCCCCAAGCCAGGTTGGCTCCCCCCTGTGGTCCCCTGAAGAGGAAGGGCTCTGAATCCAAGTCCCTATCTCCTCCCTGGGCCAATCTGGCCCCCGTCCTGGGGTCCCATTCTACATCCTCCCGAGCCATCCAGTTCCCCAGGTGCAGCGCGGTGGCTGAGGGGTGTCACCTCTCTGCGCGGCCGGGTGAGGACGACTTTGAATTCAGGCCATGAATCCACCAGCACCTCCTGCGCAGTTGGGTTCCCCCGGTTTATGGTCTTCACAGTGCCATAGACCTGCCAGAGACATGGAGGTGGTGGGGGTCAGAGCTGGGGGAGGGGCAGCAATTCCCACTCCCACAACTCTGTTTGGAGCCACCCAGTATTTATTGGGGGGTTTCAGCATCTCGTGATCGTCTGCACATTAGGTGAGGTTTTTGCCCTTCTCCAACATGGCCTCCCTCTCCAATCCCTGCCAATGGGGCTGACACCAGAGGCTGCCCTTAGTGAAGATGGCCACCACCTCACAATGATTTCACGGGGGTGAGGCCAGGGACGATGGCTGACCCAGACTCTGGGTACCAGAGATGGAGGGCGGGGGAATTGTGAGGAGCAGCAAGGAGAGGCGATTGGGGAGTGAGTTCGGGGATGTGGGGGATGCTAGGGGTTGGGGTGAGGGGCAAGGAGGTGGTGGGAGTCAGAGCTGGGGGAGAGGCAGCAATTCCCACTCCCACAACTCTGTTTGGAGCCACCCAGTATTTATTGGGGGGGTTTCAGCATCTTGTCATCTTCTGCGCATTAGGTGAGGTTTTTGCCCTTCTTCAACATGGCTGCCCTCTCCCATCCCTGCCATTGGGGCTGACACCACAGGCTGCCCTTACCTCACAATGATTTCAGGGGGCTGAGGTCTGGGAAGACGGCTGCCCCAGGCTCTGGGTACCAAAAATGGGGAGCACGGGAATGTGAGGAGCAGCAAGGAGAGGCGATTGGGGAGTGAGTGGGGAATGCTAGGGGTTGGGGTGAGGGGCAGGGAGGCGGTAGGGATGTGGAGCGGAGAGATATGGGGAAGGGATTATGAGGGACCGGGTGGGGCCTGTCTCTAACCACCACCCTGGGTTTACTCTCCTGATTTAGGGGTCTGATTCCTTATTTGTGGGTCCTGGCCTGGTATCGCAGGGGAGACCCTGAGCATGGAGGAGGGGGGACAAAGGGGCTGGTGACCCCCACACACACTTGAGCCATGTGATGGCATGGAATCATGGAGGGAGCCAGAGCTACCCATGTCTTTCATTGGCTGGCACGGAGCCTGCCCATGCAGTGACTGGCTGGCACAGAGCCTGTTTGATATGGAGCCAATCTGCCCTGTGACTGGCTGGGAGGTCCCTCTGGCTACACTGGGTGAGCAGCAGGAATTTGCTGGATTTGGAGCTTGGGAGACAGGAGATGTGAGTGGGGAAGGAATGCTTGGAAAGCAGCCAGCACCTATGGGGAGGGGCCTGCCCCCCCAGCTACCCTTGACTAAGGGTTGGGTTTTGCCCCCAGCCAGCCCAATCTCCACCCCATCACCCTGGGGAGAGAGAACTTTGTGCCCTGCTCCCATCCCCTTCCCAGGAAGTGGCATGTGGGAAAAAAGATGGGTCCTTGTCACCTGCAATGTATTGGGCAAGCGCCTCCGTAGCGTCCCCTCCAGCAGCCGCAGCTTGGAGGGGCAGCTCAGGATCAGCATCTGTGGTGTGGATGGGCCCTCGGCAGATTCCAGCAGGGATGGCACAGGGGATACCTTGTGGGCAAGAGACCCATCAGTTCCCTGTGACCTTCCCCCTGCCCACCCCCCATCCCTGGGGACACGAGGGGTGTCTGCAACCTTCCACCCTGCCAAAATAACAAATGCTGTGGGTAAACCTACAATAATGAACCACTCTGGTTACAACACCTGTACCCACCACAGACTGTACAATAACCACCCCAATGATTATATTCTCAGTGCAGCATTTCCTGTGGATTTTCCTCTCCTCCTAAGTATAAGCAGTTAATGTTTCAGCTTTTCAATCTAAAAATTACTTCTGATGAGAATTTGCACAAGTGGTGCTTGGATGTTCCCAGAGCTCATGGAGTGGCAGGTCAGTACCTCAACTGAGTCCAATTTCTCTTGTATCTTCACAACATTTCCCCCCACAATTTGCTAAGGTGTGTTTGTGAGAGTCAAGGCCCTACCAATCTGGGTGCTTCTCCCTTGCTCACCATAGACCCTACAATAGAATCAAAGAATCTCAGGGTTGGAAGGGACCTCAGGAGGTCATCTAGTCCAACCCCTGACTCAAAGCAGGATCAATCCCCAACTAAATCATCTCAGCCAGGGCTTTGTCAAGCCTGACCTTAAAAACCTCTAAGGAAGGAGATTCCACCACCTCCCTAGGTAACCCATTCCAGTGCTTCACCACCCTCCTAGTGAAAAAGTTTTTCCTAATATCCAACCTAAACCTCCCCCACTGCAACTTGAGACCATTACTCCCTGTTCTGTCATCTGGTACCACTGAGAACAGGCTAGATCTATCCTCTTTGGAACCCCCCTTCAGGTAGTTGAAAGCAGCTATCAAATCCCCCCTCATTCTTCTCTTCTGCATACTAAATAATCCCAGTTCCCTTGGTCTCTCCTCCTAAGTCATGTGCTCCAGCCCCGTAGTCATTTTTGTTGCCCTCCCCTGGACTCTTTCCAATTTTTCCACATCCTTCTTGTAGTGTGGGGCCCAAAACTGGACACAGTACTCCAGATGAGACTTCACCAATGCCGAATAGAGGGGAATGATCAGGTCCCTTGATCTGCCAGCAATGCTCCCACTTATACAGCCCAAAATGCTGTTAGCCTTCTTGGAAACAAGGGCACACTATTGACTCATATCCAGCTTCTCGTCCACTGTGACCCCTAGGTCCTTTTCTGCAGAACTGCTGCCTAGCCACTCGGTCCCTGGTCTGTAGAAGTGCATGAGATTCTTCCGTTCTAAGTGCAGGACTCTGCCCTTGTCCTTGTTGAATCTCATGAGATTTCTTTTGGCCCAATCCTCTAATTTGTCTAGGTCCCTCTCTATACTATCCCTACCCTCCAGCGTATCTAACACTCCTCCCAGTTTGTCCTGTCTATGTCTCTGTGGCCCCAGCCATGTCAGGGCTGGTCTGTGCAGGACTCAGGTGGCCCCAGTAACTCCCACTTACCTGGACAGTCTCTCTGCCAGGGTAAGGGGCAGCCCCTGTGAAGATAGAGAGACAAGGTGTTCGTGAGGCAATGAGGTCCCTGCCGGGCAGCAGCTGGGTCTCACTCTCCCTCTCCCTCTCCCTCAGGGGCTGCTCCAGCCTCTTATCCCTGAGTGAATGAACCATTAACAGAGTCTGTGCCTGGCCCGGAGCTGGGGGCAGCCGCATCCCTGCAGTCACAAGGCACTCCTTCCATTGGCAGGGAGAGGAGAGATAATTTTCTGGGGCCAGCAGAGTAGAATTCTGAGGAAACATGAGCACAGCCAGGAGTGGGACATGGGCAAACCAGTTTTCTGGTGCCCCTCTATCCTGAGTCCGACCCACAGCTCCTGCTGTCCCAGCCCTGGGCTCCCCCACTGCAGCTCCTTCCTAGCTTACAGTTTCTGTCTGTTGCTTTGATGGAGGGTTGTGTTGGGAGCCCCCAGTCTGGGCCCCTCTTCTTGGCTTCATCTTTGCCTCGGCTTTGTGTCTCTCCTAACCCTACGTCAGACCTGAAGGAGGCACCCCAAATTTCAAGACTATCCAAGGAAGCATGGGGATTTCAGAGCACTTAGAAAAATTGGTTTTAAACAGAAGCCTTCTCTATTTTAACCATAGCCGACCAGGCACTCAGCTGTAAAATTGTATGAAATTAATCAACAGCAGCTGCTTTGCTATCTCCAGATCCCTAGCATGGGACAATCCTGAAAGTACAGGGGGCTCTGAGCAGTGTGACGGGGCCCATGGATCTCAGTGTGATGGTATCCGCTGAAGGAGAGCACTGTTACCAGATGTGCCCATTTAGGGTTACCATTCGTCCGGATTCCCCCGGACATGTCCGGCTTTTTTCTGTTAAAAATAGCGTCCGGGGGGAATTAGTCAATTTCCGGACTTCCCCCGCCCCCATGCAGAGCGTGCGGGGCTTACAGGGCAGCCGGCCAGATGGTGCCACTCGCATGGGGCTCCAGTAGGGTGACCAGACGTCCCGATTTTGACGGGACAGTCCCGATTTTAGGGGACTTGTCCCGCGTCCCGACCTTACCTTGCTGGATGCTTGCTTGCTGCATGCTGCTGCTCCAGCCTCCTGGTAAGCAATCAACTTACTCCAGCTGCTTTTGCTGTGGCTAGTTGGCTGTATGTGTGCCTGCCTGGGGGATCCGCCGGGGGGCAGCAAGAGCGCGGGGCGCTGGGGGGGGGGGCTTTTGTAGAGTCACTGTTCTGCTCTGCTGATGCAGGGGGCCGCGGGCCTGGGGGGCCTGGGGGCGGGGGGCCACATT